TTAGGCAGGCGGGCCACAAAGACACCCTCATCCTGTACTTGTGTCTGTGTCAATTGGCGCGTATGTCATCATGTGTGTTAGTGCGTGTGTTTGTGTGTGCGTGCCTTTGCTCTGATTTGGACTTGTTTTACCATCGAGCCCTCCACCCCCCATCTGTGCTGCCTGATAGGGAGCATCAATAAGACAATATGAACAACATGTTTGTGTATGTTGACTCGCCACGTGGAGCACAGGAGCTAGTTAGGCTGATGATCATAACATATGTCCACCATTGCTTTGCGGCCTATTAAAATGTAGGGCAGTGTGGGTGTCACAAGCCAAACATTTTCTTTTTTTTTTTTTATTACAGTTTCCGTTAGTTTATAAGTGGCACAGTCATGTCGTCATTTAATCCCCTCCTGGCTTCATCAAAGCACCACAATTATGTCAGTGAGCCACCGATGCTTCCACTCCCCTTATAAACAGCAAATAACATTTAAATAAATGCCTGCTAGTTGGGTTTGGATCCTTTTCTTTTGCATAAACAAGCAGCTCTCCTGCAGCCAGCGGGCCACAGCGCTGTGAATGCTTATTAATCTGACCCGTCATGGTTAAAAGTCTCCTGTGAGTGCGTCTCTCCCCCAGGTCGTTAAAGAGGTTAAAGGCGCAGCTCATTAGCAGGCAGCTCCATATCTGCCAGGCTTGTTCCCTTTGAACTTCCTGGAAACGTTTTGATCCCTGCAGGCAGTGTGCAGGGATTGGCCCGATGCTGCTGGGAGTGTCCCATCTGGCCCCAGGAAGTCAGCATATCTCTGAGCCAAAAGCCATCGTTACTGTAAACTGCGTGATCTTTGCCTTCAGCAAGTCACATTGCTGACAGGATTTGCATACTGAGTCAGTTACTGAGATAATGGTGTTGACTCACAGTGTTCATACAGGCTTAAGCTTTAACCTTAAAGATCCCCTCCACTTTATTCTGTTTATGTCCCCTATAATGTCTGACCTTGACTATACTGACTTGTATCTGTGCAGTTTGTCACGAGAGAGGTGTTTTCACATTCCTTTACTGACAGGAGCGATATCTGAATGCTTAACTCTGAGATTCAGATACAACCTGGGCAGGCTGTATTAGGTATGTCACTAATTCAAAAGTCAATCACTGTCTTACCTTTCCTTGTAACAGCACTGAGTAAGCTTTTGGGAACAGAGGACACTTGTTGAAATATTGAAAATGAAATTCTTTCCCATTCTTGCTTAATATACGACCTCAGTTGCTCAACAGTCTGATGCATCCATTGTCATATTTTGTGCTTCATAATGTGCCACACATTTTCAGTGGGGGACAGGTCTGGACTGCAGGTAGGCCAGTCTAGTACTAGCATTCTTTTACTACAAAGCCACGCTGTTGGAACACGTGCAGAATGTGGCTTGGCGTTGTCTTGCTGGAATAAGCAGGGACGTCCCTGACAAAGACGTCGTCTGGATGGCAGCATATGTTTCTCCAAAACCTGTATGTAACTTTAAGTATTAACAAGGCCTTCACAGATGTGCAAGTTACCCATGATGCCATGGGCACTAACACACCCACATACCATCACAGATGCTGGCTATTGAATTTTGTGCTGGTAACAATCTGGAGGGTCCTGTTCCTCTTTAGCCCAGAGGACACGATGTCCATGATTTCCAAAAAGAATTTTAAATGTGAACTTGTCAGACCACAGCACACTTTTCTATTTTGTGTTAGTCTGTCTCAGACAAGCTCGGGCTTGGAGAAGTAAGCTTTGTTTCCGGTTGTTGTTAACATATGGCTTTTGCCTTGCATAGTAGAGTCTTTAACTTCTGTTTGTAGATGCAGTGATAAACTGTGTGTACCGACAGTAGTTTTCCAAAGTGTTCCTGAACATGCAGTAAAATGCTTTATATAATCACGTCAGTGTTTAATGCATGTCAGCCTAAGGAGTCAAAGGTCACAGGCATTTAATATGCAGTCTCTGAATCTTTTAATAATATTAGATGATGAAATCCATAAATTTGTGCTTTGAGAAATGTTGTTTTTAGACTGTTGAACTGTTCGCCCACAGTTTTTCACAGAGTGACCATCCTAACTTGTGAAAAATTTTGCCTTTAAAAGATGCCCCTTTCATACCCAGTCATGATACTTCTGTTACCAATGATCCTTTTTACGTGATGAATGTTCCAAACAGCCTTCCACAACTTTCCCAGTCTTATGTTGCTCCTGTCCCAACTTTTTTGGGACGTCTTGCAGACATCGAGTGTATCAAGTGTATATTTAGATGCAACAATAAAGTTTATGCAGGGCTCAACAAGGATTGCCCGATTGCCCGGGGCAAGTAAAACTCAAGGTAGGGCATGTAAACTAACAACTCACTTGCCCGATCGGGCAAGTTGCTAAAAATAGTAAAAGTTAATAACTAATTGATAAAATAAATGTATTTTAAAACGTGCTCCTCTGCTCTGATGCAGCGGTCTCTCTGCCTGAAGCCACAGGCACAGCTGTGTAACAATGTCCTGCCCACAGCCCCCATTAATATTATTTTGCGCGACGGACGCTTCATATAATAACATAACAATATACTATTTATGATGTTATGTCATCTTGTCATTTCTGTCTCTACATGGTCACGCGTTAACAATTCTCCTCTGCTCTCTGTATCGTGCACGGCGGAGTTCCGCCACACACACAGGTGAGCACGCTAGAGCGGCTCGGGCCGCATTTTCCTGACCAAACCTGACCCCGAGCCCGGTGCAGTTTGTCAGCTGACAAAGTTATTGAAATGGACAGTGTGTAAATAATCAACAGACTGCTGTTACACACAGACAAACACGCTGCTCGCACAGCAGCTCAGCACGGCACTCATGCTGAGCTTGTGTTGCGTTCAGGCGTTGTCACGTAAATAACAACTTCCAGCACTTAAATAGGTCATAGCACAAAACAGCAGCATGTCAAGTGACTTTTTACTTTTATTATATTCAACACAATTGTATGTTCCTAAATCTTGAGACACCTCATATGTAAGCTAGACAGACATTTCACCTGCTCATTACTGTGCACAAATGTACTGTATGTACTGAAAGAGCCCTTCTGGTGCCAGTAGATACATAGAAACATCCCAGCAGGCTGTGCTTAGCAAGCATACAAAAAAGTTTCACGCATGTGAAAATTATTTTTCATGCGTGTGCTTCACTTCCGCTGCTACAACTCCATCCTAGGGGAAACACTGCTGTGTGCGTTTTGTGCAACAGGTGGATGTGGTAGTCTACTGGTAGAGTAGAGAGAGAGCTAAGTAGCGTTGAAGTAGAGTAGAGCAGGGCAGAGAGATGGAAGCAAAATATATTAAACCTGGTGTTAATACAGCAGAACTGGAGAGAGGGGTGAAAAATAAATAGAGGTGGGCATGGCTCAAGTAGGGCGCAAAATTATAGATGGAGAATGATTGACAAATTTTTCACTTTAAGCCCTGACACTGTCATTTTTGTGTATGAATTAAACTACAATACATGACATATGTTGTTATAATTAATAAATACAGTGTGAATAAAGATTACATAACATAAAAATAACTGCAGTCTTTGTTATTTGATAGCCGCTTAAATTAAACAATTTTTATAGGGCAAGTAAAAACTGACTTCGGGCAAGTAGATCTCTGACCAACTTGCCCGACCGGGCAAGTGAAAAAAAAAACCTTAGCGTTGAACCCTGTTATGAGTTTGAACATTAAACATATTTTCTTTGTACTGTATTTAATTGAATATAAGTCAAAAGGGATTTGCAAATCATTGCATTCTGTTTCTTATTGACATTTTACTCACCCGTAACAAATCACGCTCGACTGACACAAGTCAATACAGCCTAATTATCCTGAGAGGTACTAAGATGGGATGAATTGCTCTCATCACCACTGGTTCCCACTAATGTGAACACACTAGTATCATAGAAGGTATTATTGAATGTTTCACAACCACTAATGTTTTGTCAGCCACTGCCAGTTACAAGCTAGCAAACACCATAAACACATAAAAGATGCTAACTACACTTATCATTCTAAATCTTCTGCTAGTCCCAGAGTTTGGTGCACAAACAGACTCCTCATCTGAGTCTGGAGTTGACTGAGGCTCAAACATGTATGGTGAATCACTCCAATGTTTCCTGCAGCACTAACGCTAGTCATGTTGATGCCCACTGCTCTTCCACAGGCTACCATAGCATGAGCAGTGGTGGTGGGCAGGATGCAAGGGCTGATCCAGAATTTCTCAATGAGGGGGACAGAGTAGATCTCCTTGAAGCCCCCTTCTTCAGTTATTTTTCCAACTTTTTTGTTGGAAAGCTGTGTTAAAAGAAATATTATTGCAACGCGTCTGAATGGAACTTTAAGACCTCACATTGACACAGGATCACGGTAATATCTTAACAGTCACTTTCCTGCTCAGTGTTACTTTAATGCAGCATGAATTTCGGCATACACATTTGGGCTTATGGGGTGGATGAAGTAACAACAACTGCTCACATATCAAATCTTTTATCAACTTCTTTACATTACAGTGAGTGAGGAGGTGCTGCAGTGCACCCAGAAGGAGGATGCTCTCATAAAAACTCATTTCAGAAGAGTAAAGTGAGGAAGGTTCAGCCTGTGAAAATGAAACTTCGTTTTTCTTCAGCCAACTAATCACGATCAGACAGAAGCTGGCTGTCGTGCCATGTTGATGAGGATGCTTTGCCAAAACAAGAGCAGCATGGTGGAGAAATTAGTTTTTGAATATAGTGAATATTTTTTTCTTTGGAGCAAGTTAAGTGCTGGGATCAGAATCAGTAAAAGCAAAAGGTTGTTCTCAAAAAAATTATCATACTCAGCCGTTATTGGAACATGTTACTTTTCTCTAACACGTTTTTAAAAATATATTTTTGTGTTGAAATGCTCTTGAGCCACTGCTTTGTTTTGACACCACAAAAAAATCTCACTAGTCTTACTCGTGCTTCTCTTTTGTGTCTCTTTGTCCTTCAGTCACGGCGCTGCTGAGGAAGCTGAAGCAACAGTCCAGGGAGACTGTGGAGGACAAGAGGCCCAAGCTGCTGAAAGCCCTGAAAGAGGTAAGCACTCCTCACTCAGTTTTCTGCCCCTGACATCTTGATGCTTCTAATCAGATCGTCTTACTCCTCATTCTGCTCCCATCTCGTCCCTTTTCATGCTCTCTGTCTCCCTAATCACACCAGAGCAAAGACAGGAGGGACACACATGCTGAACGTTAAATGAAACCTTAGTACTTGTGTGGCTGTCTGGTATGACGACACACACACACACACACACACACACACACAAAGGGTGAACGTGTAAAGGCTAACAGACAGACCATTATCCTTCAGAGTTTGTTTAACTTGGCGACATGATGCCACCCACACACACACACACACACACACACACACACTGTAAAGATATAGTTATGTACAGACAGACGTGTATGCTTCTAAGAGCAACCAAACGAGGATCCGTTGTGCTCTGTTGTCTGCTTAACATGAAGTTATGGAGGCCAAACTGTAGGCGTAATCATCTGGCGATTTTAGCTTCCAGGTCAGCTGTGCAGCAACGCCACCCCCACAAGAGAGTCGGGGAGCAAGTTAGCAGATGAGCAGATACAACACCAATTTAAAAGATGCAAAGCAGCTCAAACTCCGTGTGTTTCCACTGCATTTAAAGAGGTTACTATAGCGATGGCTTCAGTGTGTACCACCTAAACATTGTGTTTTGGTGTTTGTGTGCATTGCTTGACACTCAGCCGAGCCTGTGTTTGACGTGACAGGATGTGATCCCTCCTGGATGACGGCAGAGGCAGAGATGAGATTTTTCTGCGTCATCCTCGTCTCTCAGAGATTATATAGCTCTGGGAAACGATGATCTCCCGCCAGTCTGACATCATCACAGACTGCCATATTGAGACCACCAGTGGTGATGAGAGCAATTCATCCCATCTTAGTACCTCTCAGGATAATTAGGCTGTATTGACTTGTGTCAGTCGAGCGTGATTTGTTACGGGTGGACATAAAGGCTCATGTTTACTCAGGTCCGTGTTCTGAAAGGCTTTTGAAAGCCACTTTGATTTGTATTCTGCAATTATGTCCTGTTTGTTTTCTGTAAAATTGATCTAGTCTCTCAAGTTTCATGCACATAAAATGCACCTTTTGCATAGTTTTAGTTGTGATTAAGATTTCTTTGTCTTCATCTGCAGCTTGGAGACTTTTACTTGGAGCTTCACTGGGACTTCCAAAGTTGGGGTGAGTCAAGCAACACCTTCTGCTGTCTTACAATAGTGGAAACATTGTTTCACAGACATTATCCAATCTGGAAATGAACCATGTGTCCTCAGTAAGGGTGTAGTCTGAATCACAAGCAGCAGAGTGTGTTACAGACAGGAAAAAGTGATGGAGTCTGTCTGGTTGGTGAGTGTTTATCCATGCCATAAGGGGACATTGACTGTGGAGTCACCAGTGGCTACAGGCTGAAAATTACACCTCCTGCTGGACATGAACTGACACACCATACTCTTCTGTCAATCTCTCTCTATCTGCTATCTGCTGATGTTACCAACAGAATTTGTTCTCCAGCTGCACTTAATTAATGCATAATTTCACCTGTTAAACTGTTACTAAATGTGGACGAAACAAACAGTGTGACTAAATACCTGCTGGTGCAGCTGCAGCAATATCTGCTTAGTCCGCACAAGTCTGGGTGCAGAGTGTGAGCCAGGGCTGGATTCAGTGTACTCACTGTGTCTGTGTGAATTATTGACAAGGTGGGCAAGATTATGTAATGGTTGCATGATAGTATCTAAATGTAAACTGGTTGCATAACAGTGTGTTTGTAAATGGAAATTGTGTAGAAAGTGAATTATTTGTAGGTTAGAGAGCTGCGAGAAGCATCTGGTGTAAAACCAAGACAGTCTCACAGATCTGTCACGAGGATTTTTTTTTTTGTCACTGCAGTCCTTCACAGAATTATTTTGGACTGTTGCCTCATCAGTTTTAGGAATGATAGAACAGAAGGGGAGTTTCTGTCTTTCGGTTACATCAGAGAGAGCTACATATCTACACGTTATACAGCCCTGTAGTCGGCAGATCTGTATGCTGCTGAGGCTTTTGAAGATAATGATGGTCTTCATTATTGAGTGAGCTTTCTAAATTTAGACGTTGTTTCACACATTCTTACTGTATCTTTTCATGTCGCAGTGCCTTTGCTCTCCAGAATCCTGCCTTCAGACGCCTGTAAGATCTACAAGCAGGGCCTCAACATCAGGCAAGTCCCGTAAACAAATGTGATCGATTTAGATAAACTGTATGGTGTTTGAAGACAAAGAAAGGCAATACTACTTTGTAACAGCAGTATAGAGAAGACCAGAACATCACCTTATGGAAACATGAAATCAAACAGTTATTTTCCCAGAAGTCCTGTCATCGAGGCACTCTGTTACTTTTAAGTCTTACTCATTCATCTGTCATTTTGTGTTCCTCTCCCTCTACCTCCCTATTTTCTCCCCCCTCAACCTAGTTTGGTTAACTAGAGTGTGAAATCAGTGCCCGGCAGTGTGAGGAAGCTGAACAGCAACTTCTGTGTTTCAATTTAAGTCAGAGCCTCGCAGAAGGAGAAGGAGTAATGTGCTGCTGCCGAGCTCACTTACAAAGGGCGTCAGCAGAAATTCGTTACACTCTGACACATGCTGACACAACAGTGACTCTACAGTGGTGATCCACGCTGCTGTGGCCTCATGGGCAAAAAGCTAACACCAGGCGGTCTTTAGGTTCAGCTCCTGCAGCCAGGACATACACACACGTTTGGCTTCCAGTTTTATCACCAGGTTATATGTTAGACAAACCAGGGCTGCCCTTCATCCAGCACACACACAGGTGCTGCTATATTTGGGAATCATAACGTATCTGCTACATCTATTTGAAGAATGAACTCAGCACATAAAAGAGTGTGTTTGTGTCTCTGCCATATCTGTGTGAGTTATCCTTGATGTGGAGCTTGTCATTATTCTCTAAAACTGCTCCTGGCTGTCTAATTTGGTATTCAAAATGCCCTCTTATTATCCTGGAGTTGCACAGAGAGAAAAATAGAGAGGAGGAGAGTGAAGGAAAAAACTGTCACTGCAAGTTCATTTACATTCTAGTGCTACAGTGTGTCAGGCCTGTCATACCTACCCATAGCACCTACTACTTTGTGTCTGGTCCTCACAAGCAGATCAGTTATTCTCTTTGCTGTCACGCCTCATTCCAGGACTACTCGCTTTGACAAAGTAAAAAAATTCTTGAAATGTGCTGTTGGTCTCCCATGGCAATGATTACCATACACATTGTCTGTAAACTCTCAGAGCAAAGGTGTGACATCCCATCACAGTTTTGGGTACAGTTTTGTCGGCGTGTTTGCTAATGTCTGAGCTGTGGCCAAAGTTAAACTCCATGCAGCTCTTTTACTGTCATCCTCCCGTTTCCTTTTCCTTGTTTGGCTGTGTAACCCTTCATGTATCTAAAGTTCCCTCACTGAACCCACTCTCTGTATTTGCATATTTGTGTGTGCAGATTGGACACAACCCTGATAGACTTCACAGACATGAAGTGTCAGCGTGGGGACCTCAGTTTCATCTTCAACGGAAATGCCATCCCCTCTGAGTCTTTTGTTGTGCTTGACAACGAACAGAAAGTCTACCAGCGGATACACCACGAGGTGTGTGAGACACATTCTGACACAAGACTCAAAGAGTGACTTTGCTATTTTCATTACAACCCACATTTACTGCTACAATTAATTATTTTAAATCATCGATTTAACCTGCCAGATATTTTCTAGATTTGTTTTATCTGCAAAATGTCAGAAAACAATGAAAAATTGGCTCCATATTTTCCCAGAGACATATCCAAATATCTTGTTTTGTCCAGCTAACAGTTTAAAGCTTAAAAATGCTCAGTTTGATGACACTTAAGACAAAGAAAAGCAGCAAATGATCACACTCGGGAAGCAACTTCTGCTTGAAAAATGACCCTAACAATTAATTAATTGTCAAATTAATTGTAGATAAATTTTCTGTACATCAGCTAATCATGTAATTGTGTGTTAGCTCCACCACAAACCCAAATTTTCGGTTGAAAAGAACAGCATCCTGGCCATTTTGCCGATGGTAATGTTAGAATAAAGGCTGTTTAAATCAAAATGGTTTGTCCTCTGATGAGCATGAACATTTTCAGGGAATGACACAGCAATGTTCCCTCATATTTTCATATTTCTTGTGAGTGGAAAATTTGACCAGAGGGTGAAACTAGACAAAAGGTCAGGTTGCCAGTATCATTAGCAATCAGCCTGTGGGAAGCATTAATATTCAAACAGCATTATTGCACAATCTGGCCAGTAGTTGTTGAGTGAAAGTGAGAGGAAACAGCAGACATTCTCGTGTTGATGCCTCTGTAGTTTCCTGACACTGTCTCGTATTTACAGGAGTCCGAGATGGAGACAGAGGAGGAAGTGGACATCCTGATGAGCAGCGACGTGTACTCTGCCACACTCTCCACCAAGTCCATCACCTTCTCAAGGGCGCAGACCGGCTGGCTGTTCAGAGAGGACAAGACGGTCAGTGTCTGGTGTTGAAGTTGTGTTGTGATTGTTCTTATCGTGATATTGTTACTCCCACCACCGCAGCTTTTCCAGAGTCAGCTGTGGGCCACAGGGTTTCACCTGGACGTGGAATTTCTGGAATTTTTAGTAGCTCGACCCAGACAGAAAGTTGAGAATTTGATCAGTTCTCTGGGTCGGGCAGGAAAGGTACATAGACATATATCAGAATGTATATTGCAGATTATGTGTGACATAACATCAGTGATGGTTTTCAGCTGGTTTCTTCAAAGGGAACTCAGACTGTTGACCCTTTACAACTTGTTTGATGTGAAAATCTCAAAAGGATGAAATATTTGAAGGTGTGGGAGGTGCTGAATGTGAAAAGCCACAGAACGAGAAAGATATGGATTATTATACTCTCCCTGCTTTACTACTTTACTGTGTATAGTTGGATAGGTGTGGTCTCAACTCTTTTTCTATCATTGTGGGCAAATACATTTCATTCACCATCATGTGTCAATAGCCTGACTTGTAGATGTTACCTCTCTGCATCATCTTGTTATCTCACCCCACAAGCCTTCCCTGTCAGAATACGACTCTTCTTTCAGAACCACAGTTCTGCTATCCATCACCGCACACTCTGACCACTTTCATGATCATATTTCCTGCACTACATCTCCCACACCAGGCAGGGAAGAGAGTAAATAAATCAACCACAGGTGATAGGCTCAGAGTTTAAAAAACAACAGGCAGGGGGCATGAAGGTGGTGGATGAGTTATGTGAGTATTGCTTTCTGCTCTCTCGCTCCTTTGTCCTTTTGACATGTGTTTAAAAGGGAAATTGGTGACTCAGCGGGGGGGACTTATCAAACTGCTTCTCCCACCACCAGGAGCGCGTGGGAAACTTTCTGGCAGATTTCTACTCTGTGAACGGCCTGGTGCTGGAGTCCAGGAAGAGACGAGAGCACCTGAGCGAGGAGGACATCTTGAGGAACAAAGCCATCATGGAGAGCCTGAGCAAAGGAGGGAACCTGATAGAGCAGAACTTTGAGGTGAGTCGGGCTTCAATTGTGGCTGATTGTCACTTGTCATTTCAGCAGAGTGATGGAGGAAGTAGCCTCAACCCAGTGTCCCCGCCATCATCACCCATGATTATTGGGTTTATGGGGCAGCAGGGAGCATCACATAACAAACATCCCATCATAGACTGGTGCTGGAAACTGCATATTGATAACATGACTTTACATGGGAGTAAATATGACTAACATCCACCATGTGACTCTGAACAAAAAAACAGAATCTCCCACACCCACTACTCCCACAGTGCTGTTATGTAGCTGACAGTACAGTCTGTACTACTGAGTGTCCAGTGTCTTATCCAGATCAGGATACTGTAGATTTAAGACTTTTTTTTTTAATATTTTAGAATGTTTACCATTTTGTTTATGTACTTTATTAACGGGACATCATTAGTAGGGCTTTCCCAAATGCCATTTTTGGAGCTTTAAAGCTTTAGTGATAATTACCTGTGAATTTTCAAAGCTTTGACTGGACCCAAGCAGGTTGGGGAAACACATTCATATACGCTAATCAACCACCCAAACTCAACCAGACTTTAGTACGACTTAGCTCTTTCTGTAAGTTATTAATAACTCGTAATGCGGCAGATAAATGTCCGCAATTCGTCTCACCTCCTCCTTTTCCCTGTCAGCCTATTAAATTACTAGAAGTGTGAATCAGTTAGTGTTTCTCAAAGTCTATCTCATGATACTGCCGTGTAATCTTCTGAATTATGTTCACCTCAAAACAAATGAGTGATGCTTTGACCTGCAGGATATTCTAACGTCTTTACTGGGGCCATTCTCACCGTGATTCCCCCGAAAAATAGCCCACTTGAAGCTGACAGAATGAAAGCACTTATCATGTCGTTATGATGTGAATCGTGTGTGGAGGAGGGGAGGGGGACACTTAGCGCTCCATCTCTGCTGTAAATGATTCATTTAAAAACTTTTTATGTTTTACCTAAATCACGTTATTTTAAGAAACTCATTATTCGGCAGTGGACACATTGGAACGCATTGTGGGGATTTTATACCTGCTGAGGACACACACATGCATCCTTGGGATTTCTCTGAGAGACAGACTCAGTCCTCGGTGAAATTCAGAAGGATCCTTGATATTGGAACAGTTATGGGGCCATTATGGTAGCAAAATAGCTGCAAATGCGTATCTCAATCTGTGTGTGCGTAATCAGATTTGTACATGTGTAAAATAATTTGTAAAAGCGTAATAAAGTTTGTGAATGTGTACAAAAATCTGCAAATGTGTATTTAGAATCTGTGTGTGCGTAATCAGATATGTAAATGTGTAAAAAAAATCTACAAATCTGTATTCAGATTTGCAAGTGTATTGCAATCTGTAAATGTGTACAACGATCTGTAAATCTGTACACAGATCTGCAAATGCGTACAGAGATCTGTAAATGTGTACACAGATCTGCAAATGTGTACAGAGATCTGTAAATCTGTACACAGATCTGCAAATGCGTACAGAGATCTGTAAATATGTAGACAGATTTGTAAATACCTATGTCTTCAGCTTTGACTCAGTCGGGCCTCTCAATTGGCTCTCTTTGTACAAGTGATTTTTGCTACTCTTCTGCCGTGTGTGTTACTGGGAGGAAGTACTATAGTGTTCAAAGGTATGTTGGTGATGCAAGACCAACACCTAGATCAACTCAAGAGGAAGACATTATCTCTAGGATGAGATTTGGGCATACTGGTTTAGGCAGTACTTTACTTATTTTAAAGAAACATGCTGATGGTAAATGTAGTGTATGTAACAGTGCAAATATAACTCAACTCAACTCTCAACTCAACTCAACTCTCAACTCAACTTTATTTATAAAGCGCTTTAAAACAACCACAGCTGAAACAAAGTGCTGTACATAGGAGGTCATAAAACAACAAAACAGTGAGATAATAAAAAGCAGTTAAAACAAAAAACAATAAAAACAACAAACAAATAAAAACAGAGCGAGGTCTCATGCTGGGTTAAAAGCCAGTGAGTAAAAGTGGGTTTTAAGGTGGGTTTTAAAAACAGACAGTGAGGAGGCCTGTCTGATGTGCAGAGGTAGATTATTCCACATTTTTGGAGCAGCAACGGAGAATGCACGGTCTCCTCTAAGCGTTCGCTTAGACCTCGGTACCTCAAGGAGCAGCTGATCAGCTGACCTGAGGCACCGGGCAGGGGCGTAGGGG